GGGGGGGGGTCCCCCAGAGGAAAACCGAAGTCTGGAAAGGAAGGTTTGCTTCTGAACAGACGTCTAATACCTCCCATACAAGCACTTCAAGTCCTCTATTTAGAAGCCAAAGAGATTTTATAGGAGAAACAGTTTTGTGTCAGCTATTTCCCAGTGGAGCCCCCCAAAGTGTGATTCCCTTCCTGACAAGCCTCTGTCAGCGAAGCCCGCTGTGAGAGAGCCCACAGGTGCACCCCTTGCCGCGGGACGGGCGAGGGGACGCTCTTTCCCACCGAGTGGCTTACTTGTTGCTGTCGCGGTGCTCGTAGATGTGACATCCTTGAGGCCGTCCAGTCTCGTGATCCAGAGTGAAAGCAAGTTTTAGCTGCAGAAAGAGAGAAGAGAGAAAGAATGAAGTCTAGGCAGCATGTGCTATTCATCCTGGCCGCTGAAATGAGGAAAAAGTCAAGCAAAATGCCATTCCCTCCAGCTGACATGTTGCGGAGAGCCCAGGCCTGCCACCTCGGGGAAGAGCCACGTCTTACAGGGACTCTGTCATCAGAGGGGATCACTAGGGGGACTCTACTTACTCATTCAGCATGTAACCAATGATTAGGCACTTACTTTGTGCCAGACACTGGGCTAGCTGGTGGGGAAAGAACAGCGTAGAGAAGCAGAGAGGGGCCTTCTTCATGGATCTTACCGTCTGGTCGAAAAGACAGGTATCAATCATGTACCCACATGGATGAGTGAATGAATGAATATCAAACCTCCAATTAAAATAGGTTCTCTGAAGCAGGAAAAAGACTCCTGCATTTCTACAGCAGTAAATAACCTGATCCAGACTGGCAATGGGGGAAGCAGGAGGGGAGGACGGGGAGAGGAGAAGGTTCTCCTTGGCAGAGAGCATAGCATGTACAGAGGCCCTGAGGCAGGAGTCTGGGAACTGAAGGATGGCTGGTAAGCTGGAACCCAGCAGCTACAGGGGACACGGCGGGCAGTGATGCTGGAGAGGGAGGCCGGGGCAGAACACGCAGAACCTGGCTGGCCACGTTAGAATTTTTGACCTTTACCTTCACAGCAAAGGAAAGCCTTTGCTAAGGAAAGGGTGGGTGACATGATCAAAGTTATGTTTTAGCAAGACCCCGCTGGCTACTGTGTAGAGAACAGGCTATAGGGGTGACAGCAGAAGCAGGAGTCATGCAGGAGGCTACCTAGCAGCACAGGTGAGTGGGGCTGGGGGCTGGGGGGGGAGGGAGGGGCGTGCAGGGTGGCGAGAGGGAGAGAAATGGACACTTTTAAGACCTACCTTAGAAATACCATATGATCTCACTCAGATGTGGAATTTAAGAAACAAAGCAGATGAACATAGGGGGGTAATAAAAGAGAGAGGCAAACTATAAAACAGACCCTTAACTATAGAGAACAAAGTGAGCATTGCCAGAGGGGAGGTGGATGGGGGATGGGCTAAGTGGGTGATGAGGATTAAAGAGGGCACTTGTGATGAGTACTGGGTGTTATATGTAAGTGATGGATCACAAATTCTACTCCTGAAACTAGTATTACACTATCTGTTAACTAGAATTTTATTTTTTTAAAAGATTTTTTATTTTTTTGAGAGAGAGAGTGCTGGGGGCGGGGAGGGGCAGAGGGAGAGGGAGAGAGAGTCCCAAGAGGACTCCACACTGAGCATGGAGCTCGATCTCACGACTCCGAGATCACGACCTGAGCCGAAAACAAGAGTTGGACACCCAACTGACGGTGCCACCCGGGCGCCCCTAACTAACTAGAATTTTAAATAAAAACTTGAAAAAAAAAAAAAGTTTTAGAAGCAAAGTTGACAGGATATGCTGATGTTAGGGAGTGGTGAGATTGGAAAAGAAGAAATCCAAGACGGTTCAAGTTTTTGATCTGAACAATCGGGTAGGTTCCATTGCTGAGTGGGAAGACTGAATCTGGGGATAGCCAGAAAGCCAAAAGTTTGGACATGTTAACTTTGAGGCACTCAGTAGCTTTCTCTGATTAGGGATGATCAGGAACAAGAATCTGGTAATGAGGTCCTGGTTTCTTTCTGGATTCCGGAGGGGAGAGCTCAGGTGGGTGCAGAACTCCTCCTGTGTCACCGGGAAGCCAGAACTCAGGGAAGTCGTGCGTGTCCTGCTAGACCTGAGGTGGTTATGGCAGCTTTAACATTTCTAAACCTAGAGCCAATTATTAGATTTACAAATTCACCAGGTTTTTAAATGGCCAGGGAAATTTTAACTAAAATTAACTGCACATTAGGAGGATACATTATTGTAACTTTTTTTTTTTTAAACTGCAAGGCTGTTAACACAGATCTGCATCATTAGAGGCTGGACGATTTTTCTCTTCCTGAGAGGGAAAAGAGCTCGTAGGAATGGCTTGTCCTCTTACTGACCCAGATGAAAATACAAAAACAGAAACAAGCCCTTCTTCACCATCATGAAGCCAGGAACTTCAAGTCAAAGGCATGTTTTCCCTACAGAACCCTGCTTGGACCTTCCCAGCCCTCTTCAGCAAAACAGAAAATAATTGTTTTAAGAATCTCTTAACTATACCATTTTCTCTTTACCTCTCTCTTTGTGGCTGAGGCCAGGCCTATATTCATTTCAAAGACTGCTCTGCTTAGAAATTTTCAAATCCTTTGGCTCAGTGATTTATGAATTTATGGCTTAGAAAAATTATCATAAATGGAAGAGGAAAAGTTTTTTTGTGAAACTGTTCACTTCAGTATCGTTGATTGGAAAGACTCTAAAGACCAGCAATAGCAGAGTGGTTAGGTAAACTACACCACAGTCACATGCAGAACAGCAGCCATTAAACTGTTTATGAAGGATTTTGGGGCGCCTGGGTGGCTCAGTCGGGTAATCGACTGCCTTCGGCTCAGGTCATGATCCTGGAGTCCCCAGATCGAATCCCGCATCTGGCTCCCTGCTCAGCAGGGAGTCTGCTTCTCCCTCTGACCCTCCCCTGTCTCATGCTCTCTCTCTCTCAAATAAATAAATAAAATCTTAAAAAAAAACACAAAACTGTTTATGAAGGATTTTGATTAATCTGGGAAAATATTTGGGTTAGCTGGAAAAAAGCTGGATGCATACCTGATTATAGCCCAAGAAAACTATGTAAAACAGAACAGAACAAAGACTGCATAGAAGAAAGACTGGAAGGAACGATGGCAACAGTGTCCCTTTCCTTTCTTTGCGTTTTCCAAAACCTTTATGATAAATACGAGGAGCTACAAGCCACAGTCCTTAGTCATGAAGGAATTAGGGGAAATTTCATTCTTGAGGTCAAGAAACTGTGTAAATACCAATTCAACACTTAGGTGAGTGAGTAGAAGCAGTGATGGGGGTGGTGGGAGGGAATGGGACAGAAGAGCACTCATATTTACTGAATGGAAAACTCATATTTATGGAATGCCTACCAAGTAAAGGCTCTCCTTTACCCTGACCACAACCATTTGAATTAGGTATTATGATTTCCTTTTTACAGGGGAGGAACTTGAGGCTAAGAAAGGTTAAGTAATTTGTCCAAACCACAATTAGAATTTCAGCTAAAACCCATGCTCTTTCCACCTCACCAGAATTAGAGGACTCGGTGATGGTCTGGATGTGAAGCCCGCCAGGGAGGGAGGTGTCAAAAATAATGTTTAAGGTGCTCTGTCTTGGGCAGCAGGGCAGATGGTGCTGCTACTCATTGCGACAAGGAGGAACAGCGGGTTTGGAAGGAGAGCTTGAGTTTAGTTTGGGAGTGCTGATTTTAAGGTATCTGAGAGGCATCTTAGTGGAGATGAAGAGTAGGCAGCTTGTATAGACAATTCTGAATTTTATAGGCAAGATTGTTATCTGGAGGTGCAAAATTTGGAAGCCTCTGGATGGTAAGTAAGATGGTGACTAAAGCCACTGGTGTGGATGAGAACGCCCCCAAGAGAGTATGTAGAGTAAAAATGAGGTCTTTGATAGCACAGCTGGATTTCGGAGCAGTGCAACGGAGGTTAAGGGCAACGGAGTTTTGAGTTATGACGTTACAGGAGCCAAGAGGAGAACATATCTCAAGGAGGGAGCAGTCAGCAGCATTAAATCCTTCTAAGAGGTCAAGTAAGAGAGGAACAAGCATTCAAAACAAAGAGTCCATTGGATTTAGCAACAAGGACTCTCAAGAGGGTGGTAGGAGCAGAGACCAGGGTGTGATGGGTGAAAAACGAGTAGAAGGTAAGGAAGTGGGGATCATGAGTAATTTTAGCAAATTAGACGGTGGTGGGGGAAGAGTCAAGATGAATGGATTGGAACAGGACCAGACAGGAGGATGTCGGCTGAAAGGAAAGCGTATCCTAAGACAACAGGCCGTTTAAATGTGGATATAAAAGAAGCACTACAGAGGGCGGGCTCGAAGACAAAGGAGAGATGGAGGTAACTAAAGAGTCAAGGTGGCCGAGATGACCGGAGGGACGGGAAACCAACACACAAGTGGATGACCCTTCCTGCACTGGAGAGTAGGGAAGGCTGGGCAGGGATGTGGATATATCTGTGGATCTGGTGGATTTGGGGGGGGCGGGGGGGACAAGATGGGTGATGGTGGTGGTTTGGAATGTTCCAGTCTGATTTTTGTTCTTTTCTGAGAATTAGGAGGTCAAATAATCCACAAGGAATGGAGGGTTTGGTGAGGGAAGGAAAAGAGTTTGGAGGAAAGTGATGAAGGCTTGAAATTGTTTCTTTGGAGAACAGGAAAAACCGTTGACCAGGGAAGAGCATGAGGGTTGCCAGGGAGCATTAACGGTCCAGCTGAGGCCACAGGAACTGAAGGTACTGTAGCAACCATCTGCCCAGATGTTGATTTTTTTTTTTTTTCTAGCAACTTAGACATTGGCATGAAGAAAGGTAGGTTGGTCCAAAGCTGAGCATTTGCCAGGAAGGTCTGAGGGAAGAATAATGGAGCAAGGGAGTAGAGATATGATATTGGCAACAGATGGGCCAGGGACTCTAAGGGGCAACAGGCAAGAAATAAAAATGAAAGGGGCTGATTGGAAGAAAAAAGAACGATCTGGGTGACAGATGTCTTGTTTGGAGCTAATATTTATTGAGCATGTTTATCAGTCCTCAATCCTCTATTTAAAGAGCCCCGTGAGGTTGGTTCCTATCCATCTGTTACACAGGAGTTTTAAGTATTTTTAGCCCAAATTAGCAAATCAGTCACAGAACTAAAGTGTGAGCCACGTTGCTAACCACTGGACAACACTGGCCTCCTGAGTGTCCATGAGGTCATGGAGAGGAACTGTGAGAGTCACTGCGTGAGGGAGGGGGAGGCACTGGAGACTGTGGTCAGAGAGTAAGTCCTGTCTGACCTTGGACATGGGGCAGTCAGTCTCAAGATATGAGCAGAAGTCAAGGAATGGAGAATTGGGAGGTTGGGGTGAAAA